GGGGGGGGGGGGGGGGGGGGGGGGGGGAGGGGGGGGGGGGGGGACGCGAACTCGTGCGCAATGCCGCGGTGAGCGTCGAGCGACTCCGCGGTGTCTCTCTTTTCTCGAGGGAGAAGGGGGAGGGTAGCTGGGAGGCTTATTCGCCCTTGGCGGGAAAATGCGGCGAGGAACCAGAAGTGGGTCTGACTGGCCCATCTGGGGCGTATACTTTGGGAGCGGAGATTGGATGTGAGCGAAGCTTTGATCCCTGACTATGGACAGTGCTCAACAGCACGATTTGGGATGGGCGGGAGATAACCCCTAGATTACCAATACTATTTTATTCACCGGCAGCCGTGTAGGCGGCGAGACTTGAGGAGAAAAGTGATTCTGGGCACTCTGGAAGAAAAGTTGAGTCCCCTAGCTTAGCCTAAAGCAGAATCGTGTACCCTTCAGGCATTTACTTTTTTCTTTTTCCAATAGACTATTGAGATCTACACATTCAAAGGAAAATGCAGTTAGGATCACGTAGTTCTACACATTTGAGTATCAAAGCTGAATATGGCTCATAAAATTCTCTTTTGGTTATTCCAAACTTTCTTCACTGCAGCATTATTGCTGAGGGCAAGGATTGCTCCTAGTGTTAAAAACAGGAGCCAGAAATTTTTGTACATCCCTGTGAGTTGCTTGCAAAGAATCAGAAAGAGATTGAAGCCTGTCATGTGGACATTCTTGCTTTAGGGAGACCATACTATTGCTAGTTGGCAAGATACAGTATCTGTTGGTCCAAGGGCCAAGCGACTCATCTTTTTTTTCCCAATGGGGCCTCAAGACTGGATTGTGAAAGCAACTACTGTCGTCCTTGCTCAGTTCTCAGGGCCTACCCACTCCTTGTGGGTTTTGCAAAATTGGGCCAGTTGACCTTCCTCAATGAAGAATCACTGTGTTCTTGCATGAGCCATGCATAATCAGCCTTTTCTCTTTTAGAATGCATAACTGCAAGGAGTGGCCAGTGTGGCTTTTCCTCTCTCTCTTTGGATTTTTTTCCTCCTTGCTTAACCTTTGGACAAGGTCGTAGGGAGTATTGGCCTAGCAGGGCCGCAGAGTGAAGGAAGAAACACCCTCCCATCCTCAGTGCAGCACCCCCTTGTTCAAATAGGTCATAAAACACTGCAATTATTCAAAGCTCATTTTTCCAGGCACCTGCTGCTCCTCAGCTCTATCTGGAATCAGTGCGCACTCCTGAGACACCTTTGGGAAGCCGGTGCTGTTCATATTGGCATGAGGTGTGAAAGAGTGGTGGATTGTACTACTAATGCTGTACAGAAGGACTGTTTTCCATAAGGAAAAGATTAAGGCTTCAGTCCCATGCATAGCACACCTCTGACTATTGAATACATTGGGACAGGAATAGATATCTATATAATAAATATGTCCTGTTTTGCTCTGCGTGTGGGGAGCGGGGAATCTACTCTTCTACTTTTTGTTCTATTTTGGTCTGATTATATTATCCCACTGTACATGGGATTACCCTTTTTGGCCACAGATCTAAGCATATTTAAGGAGTAATGTCAAATAATTAGAAGGTGTGCGTTTCAAGATCTTTTTGTGTCTTGTTACATTGGGTTGTTTCCCTTCCTCATACTAGCTGTGAGCAATCCAGAGAGGCAGAGAAAGATAGGTAAAGTGCTAAGATCATACACAGGTAAAAGTGGAAGGAATGGTTTAAATGGAATACTTTGTCCTTCTAGCCCTCTCAGTGCCTCTTTTAGGACTTGAACTCACTATGACTTAATTCAGTAAGGCCTCTTGAACCGTTCTGATGGAATGCTGTGGGATACATTATTATAATAAGCAGGAATTGTAGCAGTTAACACTATTGTAGGGAAAAAGCCTTTCTTCTCCAGAATCCAAGACATTTTGTCTACTATCTTAACATTGTTTCTTACAGCTATAATATGGGTTTGATGTAAATGACCATTTGTATTCATGCCCCAGCTCCCAAAGAAAGAAAATCTGATTGCTGTAAGAGCTGATGAAATGGGACAGACTGGCTAGACAAGTTTACCTTAGCAAGTTCCATTTTGTAAATTAGATTATAAAAGACCATGGCTTTTTTTCTTTCCATCTTCTCTCTTCAAGTATGTGTTAGACAGCAGTTTGTATAATAACACACAGTCTGTCATTTTGGAGAAGTGAGACAGAGGCTATATTAACATAGCACTGTCACATGGGGGGATTTTATAACACTTCCAAAGTTGTTAATTCTTATTTATTTAGAGACTCAGGTTACATAGAAACAAATACAGGTTTACAATTCCTGTTGTTCATACTTTCTGAATTAACAGCTTCACTCATTCGTACATATATACTTCCATGCATACCTATCCAATTCAAAATTTAACTGACCAGACTAGGTTTGAGCTCCAGAAGGCCTAGCATGCCCAGTATCTTGTTTAGTGTGATAGCTCCAAAGTACTACAGTTTCCATCCATTTTTATAGCTTCCAGTAGGGCCTGATGGGTTCTAGCTTGCTACTTTTCCACTGGAGTGCCATTGCCTCATCTTCTTAACGTGAACTATCTCTTGTTCTGAAAACCACTCTGTGTTTTGAGAACAGTCTCATGTACTCTTAGACAAGTCTTCATTCTGGCATTTTCTGACATAAGTTAAAATCTTCTAGAACAGGTTCCTATACCATTATGGACTCCTTTGAGTGGCTCTCATGTTCTTTATTTTTTATACATGTACACTGTGGTGTAGTAATTAAAATAGTAGACTTGGATTGGGGAAATCTAAATTCCTCAAGTCACTGGATTATGTTGGACCAGTCACTCTCATCCCAACCTATCTCATAGGGTTGTTGTGGGATAAATTTCATGGGAAACTTCCATGAAAGCCACCTTGAGTTCCTGGAGGAAGGGTGGGATATAAATTGAAGGAACAGCATTCTTACCTTCACATATAGGTAAATGTAGGTTTGTATGAAGCAGACAGCTACAGTTCAGTATACAGGATGTACCAAAAGTCAGTTCCTGTAGACAATTTATTATATAAATTTCCTAAATGTTGGAATTGGTTGCCATTTTCTTCTAAACACTTCATTACTTGTTGGACACATGGCTTTTGAATATTCTTAAGTATAATAACATTTTCTCTGAAAAAAAAAATAAGAAAACATTGTGATTGTCCTGTGGGGCCTTTTGGTACACCTTGTATATAATAAAGTACAAATTAGTAGCAATATGATGACAATTTGAATTCAGTCACTTTTATGTAACTTTTAGTAAATGCTAATAATGGAAATACCAAATGCATTCAAGTATTGTATTAAGGAAGTGGACAGGGTTCTTGGGGCTTTGAGTTCTGCTACCTGTGTTTTAGATCTACATACACAGGAGATGGCATGCAGTTGGATTCAAATGGTGGTGAATGCTTCTATTTCTGCTTGCTTTGAAGGAAGTGATGATTCATCCTCTCTTCAGGAAACCACTGCTTGATCCAAAGGTACTGGATACTTTTTGTCCAGTCTCCAGTCTTCCTTTTTTAGGGAAGTTTGTTCAGAAGATGATAGACCAGCAGTTCCAAAGAGCACTGGAGGAATATGGACTTCTTTCAGTCACATTTCAAGCCAGTTTATAGCATTAAGGCAGCACTGGTTGTGCTTGTGGATGACCTGTGATGGGCTTAGGATAGGCATCCATCCTGGCCCTCCTTGATTTTTCAGTGGCCTTCAGTACCCTCAATCATGGTATCCTTCTGGATTGATAGGGGTTTGGGAGTGGAAGGCATAGTTCTTCAGTGGTTCTCCTTCCTCCAAAGGTGGTTCCAGGGTATAATTCTCTCCCTGCACTTTCATAGACTTCTAGGTTGCTACCTTCATTCTAAGATCATAAAGCTTAACATGATAGTAAAAAAGATCAAACTGCAGCAAAACCATGTACACATTGAACATGCATGCTTATAGGAGTTTTACTAAATCAGGACTAATTGCCATCTGTGACATCTGTGTCTGTGGAAGAATCGGAAATGGATCAGTGAATTTTGCAATTTCTATTAGAAATATGCAGTTTCCACCTGCTTGTCCACCTTATCTGTGCTGATTGTATGCATTTGTAAATAAATTCAATTATTACAAGTGGCAGAAATCCTCTAGTGACTTCATTCAAAAGGAAAGCCCAAGGCATGCATCATACACTGAAAACCTATTATAGAATTTATACATTATAAAAAGTATAACATGTAGTAGAATTATGTTGAAATATAAAATAGTTTTTCCTTTTACAAAATTGGTACAGAAAGTGATTTAAAACTGAAAAGGGCAATCTTTTGAAAGAGGGGTGTAAATGTTTAACAAGTAGCTTCTATAAAGTCTTATAGCAGGTGGTAAATTTGTTTATTTGATCAGAAGTGACCTAATCTTTTCTACAATTTACTTGTTCCTCATTTACTTAGAGAAAAATGTCATTTAATTTAAAACTTCATTTATTGCTATT